CCATCCATCCATCCATCCATGCATCCATCCATCCATCTATCCATCCATCCATCCATCCATCCATCCATCCATCCATCCATCCATCCATCCATCCATCCATCCATCCATCCATCCATCCATCAAGGTTTACTTGCGGTTCCTAGAGTTTCCAAAAGCGTAATGGGAGGTGGATCTTTCAGTTTTCAGGCTCCTCTCTCGTGAAACCAACTTCCAGTTTCTGTCCGTGAGGCTGACACATTGTCTACTTTTCAAATTAGACTAAAGTATTTCCTTTTTGATAAATCCTATAGTTAGGGTCAACTTGGGTTTCCTGAGCTATTCCTTAGTTATGCTGCTATACTGCTGGAGGACAAATGACAACATTTCCATTTCTCTGCTGCTCTCTTTATTTGCTCTACTCTACCTGTTTGTATTTGTAATTATTTCTATCTGAACATGTTTTTTGTCGTCCTCCTATAGAAAGTTCATCTGGACCTGCCTTTCTGTATTTGTTTCTCCTTCCTGTCCACTCAAACTCAGCTGGTCAAAGCAGCGGGCCGCTCGTCCTGAGCCTGGTTCTGCTGAAGGTTTCTTCCTGTTAAAAGGGAGTTTTTTTGTCCACTGTTGCCTTTGTGCTTGCTCAGGATGGGAGACTGTGACGAAGTAAAGATTCAACGAGTCTGCTGGCTTCCTTAGATAGAGAACTTTACTAATTGGCTTTTTAATGTATGTGAATGTTTCTGTTCAGTGCCCTGAGACGACTTCTGTTCGGACTTGACGCTATATAAATAAGCTGAATTGAACTGAATTGAGAGGCAACAGCTCCACCAGCTGAGCCACCCATTTTCTGTACAATAAACTTTTTTTAATTTAAAATTCTCGCATCTTCACGTGTTTCAGGCCGAACTGACGCTCACCATGCTTGGTGCACGCTCCGAGCAGATTGACGATGTTGAGGTGAGGACCGAGGTGACTCATGATCTTCAGCTCCGACATCAGCGCCTGAGTCTCACTTCTCCTGGCTGTAGCTGCACGAGAGCAGAGGAGGGAAGAGGAGGATGAGGAGCAGAGCCGTATAAACACGACACATTGAAAAACACAAAGACCTGTGGGCTGAATCAATCTGGCATTCAAACTAAAGCTCAACAGGCTTCGTTTCTTTCTCTCTGAGCTCACAAGAATATGGCACCGGTTCGACATTATTTGACAGCTACGCAGGGGTCTCCTGTTGTTCGCACGAACTACGCACATGGCGTCTTTTACGTTCTGTGTCTTACATTTCAGCATTTTCACTGCCACCTTTGTGCTGGACTGGGAATGTGTGAGACCGTAAGCAGTCGCCATGACCACCCTGCCAAAGGCTCCCGATCCAAGAGTGCGACCTGAAACACAAAACAAGCTCAGTGGGACACAGAGGAACTGAAGCCCACATCGGACCTGGAAAAAACTGACTTTTACCGCGTGTTCATAGCAAAATATGAAGATGGTTATTTATCTGGAAGTAAAGCATGACCGACTGACTTGTTGAATCATGACTGACATCTGATGGGAAAGATTTAAAAGAAGCTTAAAAGTGAACAGGGACTGAGGTCAACAAGAAAAAGAAGTTCATTAGGTATTCTGTGGCTCGCTGACAACCCAAAACCACCCGCAGCACAGAACCCTTCAGGGGACAGATCCAGTCTCAACTAAGTCTGTTCTGACAAACATAAAACAACCACAGAGCTAAAACCTGTTCTAATCTAGAACACCACAGGGCTTTAATGAATTATTAAAAGAAACTTCAATCTAATAAACTATTTTAAAAAAAACAGCAAAAAAAGAACATGACACTGCAGTTCTAACTCCCCACAAAATACTCATTTTCACAATTTAACCAATACCTGCTCTTGTTTCGCTTATTTCTTAATTTTCTGAAATCTTGGCTACAGAGAGCTTGTGTCTGCTGCTCAGTTTGATGAGTCATGAACCTGTGAACAGGATTTATTAAAACTTCCCGAAACTGATCATTAGAAGTACAACTAATTAACTTGTGGCGTTGACCCAATTCAAGGTGGCCTTGTCAACTACGGACTTTAAAAACACACAAAAATAGCTATATGCCATTCAATTTTACAGATATGGTGCTAAAATTGGTGTGGTAGTAGCTGAGAGTCCATCCTAACACTAGTCCTAGTCCTTCCTTTGTCGCAGCAAGTGAAGGTTGACTCTCAAACTTCACAGTTTCTTCCAGTTATGTCAGCTGTACACCAAGGCTCTGTTCTTGGTCCAACTCTTTTCTCCATATTTAGAAAAGGTAGGCCTCCATCCATTTAAATACCAATGACACTATTCTATATGCTTTTGGTTCTACTACAGATGAGGTTGTAAAGTCCCTTGAATATGGTTTTCTTGAAATCCAGCAGGCCTTTTCTGACTTTTGTCCTTAAATACCAAGACAACTAAATGTATGTGGTTTGGTCATGGAGGAGGAATCATACCCACCTCGGTGGACTTCACAAATATAAACGGCAATATTATAGAACAGGTAACAATTTATAAAAATTTGGGCATTTGGATTGATGGCTCTCTGTCATTTTCACATCATGTTAAAGTTTTGCAATCTAAGATTAAAGCGAGACTTGCTTATCCATATAGAAATCCATCTTTGTTTACATTGGCTGCAAACCGCACCATTGTTGAAAAAACCATTGAGTTGGATTATGAAGACATAATTTACAGACATGCTTGTAAGGGTGTCCTTCATAAGCTGGACACAATGTATCACTCTACCATTTGCTTTGTTACAAAATGCTCCTTGTAGAACATCATCGTCACCTCAACTCTCTTGTTAAATGGACTTCTCTACATACTCGTTAAGAAATTCACTGGTTTATCCTCATTTATAAGACGTTGCTGGGTTATCCATATTTAACTCATCTACTGCAACTAGCACCGGTTTCGAAGAGTAACAGCGATCCTCTCTGTGTGGTTAAAAACTCTAAAGACCAAGTCTGGCTCTGTCTCTGCTGCTCCATCTGAATCTGCTTCAAACAACTTTGAGTCTGACCTCACTTGTCTCAGTTTCTAGTTTAAAAAAAATAATAATTTAAAAGCTGTGTTTAAAGATACAGTACTTGCAAATGTTTTCATGCTTAGTCATGTTTGACAATGAACTGTTGTTAATGTAATTTGTGATTGCCTTGCTTGTTGACTACTGTATTTTATTGTTTCCCTTCCCTGGACCCTAAAAGTGCCTGTTGGTGCTGCCAGGCCAGCTCTATAAATAAGACTTTGTTCTCAGTGTTCATGCCTGGTAAAATCAAGGAGAAATAAAAATAACACACACTTTGAGTGCTAACATGATGTTAATTTCAAGGTTTCACAAATTGCTCATAACGCCATAATTCCTCGACATAAAATGATTTTAGTTTAAAACTTTGACATGAAAAGGAGGCGTGCAGTCCTTTAAGGAATGCTGTTTGAATTATTTTAAAGTCTTTCTGGCTGGTGAATCTTGGTATTCTACTAAACTGGTTTTATTTATGTATGTTTTGATCAGATAAAAAAAAACAACTAAACTTATTTTGTATTATTGGGTATTCATGTTGTCTTCATTATTAAATGATTGAATAGTTTTGTACAGCTGTATAAAAAAAAAAAAAAACGAGTCAGCACCAAGACAAGTTTGAGCAGAATTCAAAAAGAATAAACTTGAAGAAAAATAACATGGATCACTGCAACATGTCAGCAAGGTTTCAATTTCCTGCTTGTTTATAGAGACAGAAAGGCTTTTCTATGCCATTTTCTCATGACCTGCTCAGGGTTCTGCTTATTATTTTTAATTTTCTGAAAAATTGGCATCTACTGGGAAGAGCTTATGTCTGCTGATCAATCGGACGAGAGTTGAGCAATTAGTGTCTTTATAAAGCTTTTTTTTGCATCACTGAGTCTTTTCTGTCCCAGATTGTGAATAAACCACAGCTCTAACAAGCTTAAAATCTTGGGAGAGGGTAAAAAAGTTATTTGAGAACTGAAAGAGTCCAAATGTTTTAGTTGTTTTTTTCCACGCTTAAATTGCAGAAAAGAAGAATGATCTGGGTTGTAACAGTTTAAAACGAGGCTTTATTTTTAACTTTGGGAGTTTTGGTGTGTTTGGGTTCAGCTCGAGTCCCATCACGTCTTAGAAGTTGTGAAGATTTCTTGTTTTACGCGGTTTTTATTTAATTTATCGACGTTTTTCCGGTTTATTTTTAACCATCTTGTTAAATGCTTTGAGTCAACCTTGTTTTAAAATGTTTTATTTAGCATTCAGGGATTTTTCTTCTGTAAGTAATCCTGGTCCTCGAGGGCCACTATCCTCCATGTTTTAGACGTCTCTGCGTCAACGCACTTGATTTGAAAGAATGGGTGGACAAGGACCTCTGCAGAACTTCACGACAGGCTGAAGGGGTAAGCCGTCCACTAAACCAGGTGTGTTGGAGCAGAGATAAAACCAAAACATGCAGGATAATGGGCTTTAATGAGCACGATTGAACGTCTCAAATAGTTTGCATGAATTCACTCTCTACATTATCATGTGCGGACTCACTCAGAACCAGGTTTTCTCGGGCTATCTCCCAGGCCAGATCGTACGGTAGGTGGATGGGATCCACGTAGATGTACTCGTGTCCGTCCTGGCTCACAGATTCGATCACCTTCCATCTGATCTCGTAGCGAGGCTTCTGAGCACATAGTGAAGGAAAATCAGAAGAGAACTAAATATTTTGAGCGCTGTTTGCGTTTATGCGTTCAGGTTGGTCTTACCTTCCTCCACACAGCGACTAGGATGGTGACAGACATGATAATGATGACCACCAAGGCTAAGACAGCAGCCAACACTGCCACCTGGGAGAACAGGGCTGCAACACAGAAAAACATCACAGACGTGAATGGCAAAGTATTTTTTTTTAAAGTTACTCGTTTGTAAAAGGAAGTAAAATCACATTTTATGACCCGTATGTGCCACGTATTTGAGTAAAAAAAGCATGCATAACATGTAGCATATTAATTATCCACTCCGAACCCGATTGAACCCTTCGCCATGACACCTACTGCTGGACACCAGTTTGACGTCTCTCCTGCTGACCAGTCCAGCTTGGTTGACGGTTTCGCAGCGCACCGTGACCTGCTGAGGTTTGTGGAAGATCACGTGGCTCCGCACCTGGCTGATCTTACGTGTGTTGTTGTAGGTTACGTTGGTGTGGATGCTCAGCTCCTCCGGCTGTGGAACCAGCGGCTGCCACACGGCCGACTGGTTGCTGCACCTGAAGCAGGAGAGGAATCAGAACAGCTGCAGCGGAGGAGCGACAAAGCCAAAGCAGGTGACCACACGGACCCACAGACCAAAAACATGAATGTTAGGCTGATTGGTAACTCTAAATTGTCCCTACGTGTGAGGGAGACAGTGAATGGTTGTTTGTCTGTTTGTTCCTGTGATGGACTGGAGACCTGTCCAGAGTGTACCCCGCCCCTCTCACTGTGACTGCTAGATATGGGCACCAGTGGCCCCCCGTGACCCAAAAAAAAGAAGTGAGTAAAGATGGATGGATCTATCTGTGTGTGCGGTCAGCCCCCTGGTGTTTCCTGCGTGACACTTCAGTGGGGACCAGAGGGTTTTGTGACGTACTTGAGCATGCTGTCACAGCTGTACCACTGGACCGTCGGGGCTGGAAACCCCTCCGCCACGCACGTCACCAAGTGCCTCTTTCCAGGGAGGTTGTGGTCGGTCAGGTCTTTAATCTGAGCAGGAACTGCACACAGCGGGTTATTCATCATGAGTGGCTTAAAAACAGAAAACGTGTCACGACATGCTTTTTTTTTTAAAAGCATTCTTCGTACTGGGATGGGTTAAAGTCTCTGAGAACGTTCTCTCACCTTGGACTTCCAGGTCGAAGACAACTTGTTTTGTGGCGTCTCTGTTGGTAACGAGGACAGAGTAGAGGCCCTTCTGCTCCGTCCTCACCCTCACCAGGGTGAGGATGGTAACATATCTGAGGCAGAAGATGATGAAACTGTGAGAACGTAAATCAAACCAGTGGTCCTGCCTTTTAACCTTTAACCGACCGATTTGATTTAATTAGAGCAGCTTCTGCCTGCAGGAAAACGTCTGCAGGTTTCAAAAAAAAAATTCTTTGAACAGAATAAAACGTGCTCTTTGAAGTTTTTTGAGTTTGACAGATTTCTGAACAACCTCAGTTTTTGAAGAAGCAGCTGAACTCTCACAGGTAGATGAGCTAAGAGCTAACACCAGCAAGACCAGGACCAAAATGATTTGCTGCTGTTTTAAAACAATTCCAGTTCAAAAATATCAGAGGTTCAGGTGAACCTATTAGAAAGCTTTATATCAGCATCAGTTTCAGATTACATGGTTATTATGGCAGAAATATGATATTCCTCCAGGCTACACCAGAGGTGCTACAGCTAGCCACCAAAGCCACTACACCAGGGCTATTCAACTGGTGGCCCAGGGGCCAAATCAGGCCCAAGGATGAATTGTTCGGCCCACTGATGGGTTCATTTTTAAATAAAACTAGATTTTAAACCATAAAACAAACTTATTTAATGACAATAACTTCTGGATCTCCGGCCCCTGAGCTCTTGGCTTTCAGTTACTGTGACCCCCCCCCCCCCCCCCCCGAGCTATTTAGTTGAATAGCCCTGCACTACACCTTGTCAATGACTGTGAAATAAACAATGCAACATTTATAAATAATGTTCACATGAACAGATTGGAGTTATTTTAAGGTGGCAACAATCCACCTCGCTCTTAGCCACGCTTGGATTAGCCGTTAGCTCGTCATTCTAGTCAGAAACAAAGGATTTCTTTAAACCGAGGTCGTTCAAGGTGCTGTCTGCAACAGGTAAGATGATTGTTTATCACATTTCCACAGAAACCCACTTCAAAGGATCTGAAACATTTAACTTCACACATTGTGTCTGATTATTTTACATTTCAGTATTTATTTGCTGTTTAACATCTATTGGTGGATGAGTTCTGCGATTTATATTTCTGTTTCATAATTTATGTGTTAAAAGTTGTAAAAGCACATTCCTGTGAGCCGAGCTTTGTTCGGCATTAGTCATTGGGGAGTAGTGACAGGTATTTAGTGTTTATGGTTCCTGTGTGTTGAAAGATGGACTCCTTCCCTCTGGAGAGGATTGTGTTTCTCTCTGCAGAGCCTCATCTGGTGGTGACTGACAGGAGCGAGATGCCTCTGGAGGCTTCCAGATTATCACAAGTTCTGCGCTAATTGTTTAAACGGAACAAGGATAACGAGTTCTCAGTAGACGGCTGGATGCTCGACCTTATTTCATGCTCGTGTCTGACGACGATGGTTTTGTCTCCCTTGATGGAGGCGCCATCTTTGGTCCAGAGAACCTGAGGGGGAGGGTAAGCTTCGAAGTCCACTCTCAGCTCCACGTTCTCCTGGAGCTTGGCTGAAACGTTCTGAAGCTGAGCAGGCTTCACGTCCACGAAACCATGTTCTAATAGAAAAACACAATATATATGATACGGTCAGTGCATCGACCCACAAACACTGCAGGACCAAAAGAGTTCACTATTATGTTCAGACACATTATATTTTTCCTTTTGTTAGCAAAACAAATGTTTTGTGTACGTCCGAAAGAAAATAACAGAAAAAGTTTTACATGTAAGTTGTAGCTTCTTATTTCATGTAGTGACGAATTTAAGAAGCATCAATATTACTGAATGTGTTCATCTGCTGGCCTTCACAATAAGAGCTGGGATAATAACATCACGTCACTACAGCCTGGATTTTCTTCAGTAGGATGAAAAATAATAATAAACTAATAAACTAATATTTTAATGTCTGCATTTAAAAAATGAGCACTGTGACTCTGACATAAACTATAAAACAAAACAAGTTTTCAGAAGCCAACAAAGTTAAGTCAGGTCCTCTGGGACGGTTTTTGTTTCTTGTTGAAACGTTTCGTCCTTCATCTAAAGGACTTCATCAGTTCTGCAAATGTGCTGGTCCTTCAATGTTTTGAACCACTTTAGCTATGGCTGCCTCAGAGGAGTCGACGTGGGAGAGGGCGTACTCCAGAAACCATCTCAGCACCAGCAAACTGGTTGGTTCACTATGAATGTGCTGCTTGTGGGACTGAGTTTGTTGTGGCTTCTCTGACTGATGAAGTCCTTTGGATGAAGGATGAAACATTTCAACAAAAAAAAAGAAACCATCCAGAGGACCTGACTTAACTTTGTTGAATGTTTAAACCTGGATTATTGAGCATGAACTTTGACGTATTCACAATATTAATACATCTGCCAGTTGCTGAGCTGCAGTATCAACTTTCATCTAGATTCCTGGATTTCACCTCTTGGTTTGGACAAAACCAACATTTACTCAGCATTTCTTTTGGTATTCGACAAACCCAAAGGAGAAAACATCTGGCTCGACACTGTTCACATTTTTTTGTCCAAAAGTGTTGAGAGGAGCAAAAAGGACAAAGAAACAACAGAGCTGCACATATTTGAGTCAGCTGATGGACGAGTTCTCTCAGGGTACAATAAGACCAAAGAAACTACCTGATGTTAGTTGGATGCTTACTAAGCATTCACACTATTGTGATCCTATTACCACTTCTAAATTCTTCTGTATGTTTCTCGTTCCACAATTTTTGTGCTATTTCAACAAATCATATATCAAAACGTTCAGCTCTTACAATCCTGCTGTGACTTTTGGTATTGATGCAACGTTTGCTTATTGAAATATTTAGCCTTTTCTGACTTTTTTTTTTTCTCATAGAAAATGAATTGAGCTCATTTTACATCCTTCATATCTTTAGATCTGTTTAAAACCTTTTACTGCTCCTTTCACATTTTGTTCTGGTTCAGCTTCTTTCTGCTTCCTTCTGCCAATTTTAACTTTTTTCAGCTACTTTTGTGCAGTTTTGTGCTTCTTTAAGATTCTGCTAACTACAACATTTTTTGAGCTTCTTTTAACTTATTTATTTTAATTTCAACTTGTTATGCTCCTTATAGCCAATTTATGTAAGTTTCAGCTTTTTCTGCTATTTCAGCTACTATTTACCGGTAGCTGTTTTTTGTTGCTAATTTGATTTTTTTCAGCTAATCCCACATTTTTTACAATAATTTCAACTTTTTTCAGCATAAATCAGCAAAAATGTGCTCTCTCCTCTTCCTTCTGGTAAGTGGTTTTCTGCTGTTTTAGCTACTTTTCAGCTGTTTTTTGCTAATTTCAGCATTTTTCAGATAATTTCTGCTTTTTTGTGCTAATTTCTGCTTCTTCCAGCCTAAATGGGTAAACATGTTCTTTCTGCATTCTTCTGCTAATTTAAGCTTGTTCTACCTTTTCAGCAACCTTTTTAGCACTGTTTAGCTAATTTAAGCTGCTTTCAGATAAATTCAAGTTTTGGGTGGTAATTCTTTCTACATTCAGCCTAATTAGCTTCTTTATGCTAATTTCAGCTTGTCATGGCCCTTTCAGCTTTTTTATAGTTTCAGCTTGTTATGCTCCTTCAACTTATTTTTGCAAGTTTCAGCTTTTTCTGCTATTTCAGCTACTATTTAGCTTTTTTGTACTAATTTTAGCTTTTTCAGCTAATGGCATTTTTTTTAGCTAATTTCAGCTCTTTCCGTTACTTTCAGTAGTTTAAGTTTCTTTATGCATTTTCAGCTACTTTTCAGCTATTTTTGTTGCTAATTTTAGCTTCTTTTTTTAAGTTAAGTTCATATTTTTGTGTTCATTTTTTCTTACTTAAACCTAATTAAGCAGTTACGTGTTCTTTCTGCTTTCTCCTGCTAATTTTGGCATGTTCTTCCATTTCAGCTACCTGTCAGCAAGGTTTTTTTTTATAGCTAATTTCAGCTGTTGTTTTAGCTAGTCCTTCTGCAATAAGCATTCACACTGCATTTTTGCAGAAAATGCAATTTATCTAGTTTAAGTTAGAATAGTTTCACTTCTTTAGTAAATACAGCAGCCAGTCATGTTTTTGTTCATTTTTAACATTTTGAAGCGTTGTCATGTGTGTCTTTAACATGTTCAGTAGAACGTGTGTCTTTAACATGTTCAGAGTAAAAAAAACAACCTCTCCTTGCTTCCTGTCTCCATCCAACATGGGGGTTCGAGCTATTTAAAGGGTTTTCTAAACAGATCACACCTCACTGCAGATACAGTAAGCAGTCACAGAGCTGTAATGACTGCAGCGGTGGACAGAACATGGGAGGAGAATCCTGCTTCTACGAGCTCTCGTTCCGCTTCGCGTTCACATTTAAAGACAAATCCAAGCCACACAACTCACATTCACCTACAGTTTAACTATAACGTCGCTGTGATCTGCAGGTGTTATTTAAGGCATCACTCAGGGGTTTCACACCGTGTCAAAGGTTTATTTCACACAATCCACAGAAACACAAAACTGCTCTTTATTTCCTTTAAGTGCAGCTTTTCTCCCCACCATGGCCTCCCAGTGTTAACACAGGAGTTAGTCTTCTCCATCATAATACCAGTAACAACAATCTGCAGGGAATCCGTTTGTTTTTGTTCAGTTCGTGTTTGTGTGTCTGACCGAGCACGGTGACGTTGATGCTGGCAGAAGCCGTGCTGCCGAGGACGCTCTCGAAGACGTGGCAGACGTACTTTCCGCTGTGGGCCACCGTGGCGCGAGGGAAGAAGAGGCAGGAGCGTGCACGTGTGGGGGGCGAGACGTACGTCTGAGGCTCAACCTCAATGAGCTTCAGGAGAAACGACAACAACAAGAGTGCGATTATTATTAGTGAGTCAAAATTTGCACAATAAAACAAGACTTTGAATGCCAACGTTTCAGACTAAGATCATGTTATGATGAAAAAAGGCGGAGTTGGTCAAACCTTGGAAATAAAGTTATGTACAATATAATACTTTATTGCAAAATGTTACATTCAAAGTACAAGTTGGGGATGACTCTCAACTACTCTAATATACATTTTTAGCCTTAAAGATATAAAATTGGCTGGTTAAGCGATTGTTGTGTTTCCTAAGCTCCGCTGGCTGTGGCAGCCATCTTAAATTGGGCCAGCTCCAAAAGTAAACCAGTTATAGATTTACATCTATTGATAACTTTCTGAAAGTTTCATTAAAATCTGTTCAGCAGCTCATGAGATATTTTGCTAACAGACAAGCAGAGTTGACTCCAAAAGTTTACAGGCTAATTTTTTTTTTAACAGATATCTCGTGTGATCATGTAGTGCTTTTACTATATGTTGAGGATGACTGTCAGGTACTACCACACCAGGTTCTAGCTGAGTATTTGTAAAAACAGAGTTATACCCATTTCTGTGGTTGCTAAAGTTCACAAGCTGTGGCAGCCATTTTGACTTTAATGGGCTTTAAAACTAAAAAATAAATTGTAGTTGTACCTTTAGTGACTGTTCTCTAAAAGTTTCATTAGCATCCAATCAGTGATTCAAGAGATATTTTACTAACAGACAAATGAAGTGAACTCCAAATAGTTAATGGCAAAGATCTTGCATGAACTATTTGCACTCAGATTATGTTTTAAAGATGACTCTCAGCTAATATTAAATCAAATTTTAGGACAATAAATATAAAATTGACTGAGTTATAGAGATTTTTGTGTTTTTATAATGCCAGTTTGCTGTGGCAGCCATCTTGGAACAGGTTGACGCCGAAGGTGAATCAGATGCAGATGTATATCCCACGACTATCTTCTGAAAGTTTCATTAAAATTTGGCTTTTGGTTTATGAAATGCAGCACGGTGGCGCAACTGGTAGAGCTGCTGCCTCTCAGCGAGCAGGTCCCTGGTTCAAACCCCGGTCCAGGGGCCTTTCTGGGTGGAGTTTGCATGTTCTCTCCGTGCATGCGTGGGTTTTCTCCGGGTGCTCCGGTTTCCTCCCACAGTCCAAAAACATGCATGTTAGGCTGATTGGTAACTCTAAATTGTCCCTAGGTGTGAGTGAGAGAGTGAATGGTTGTTTGTCTCGTTTGTCTCTATGTGGCCCTGTGATGGACTTGCGACCCGTCCAGGGTGTACCCCACCCCTCGCACAGTGATTGCTGGACATGGGCACCAGCGACCCCCGTGACCCAAAATGGAATAAGCGGGTAAAGAAAATGGATGGATGGATGGATGGATGGATGGATGGGTTTATGAAATATTTTGCTGACAGACAAACGGACACAGGCAAAAATATGATCGCCTGCCTTCACCTTTCAGCAGCAGGAAATAAAACTGCCTCATGAACAAATATGAGTTGAAACAGACACTTGGGCCAATCCCCACGCTGTGCGTGTTGTGAAAACAATTCACAGGAGGAGCCAAATCGAGGTGTGTCTCCACATCTTGATACAATTTGGGTCCGGCCATGAGGTCGCACAGGGATTAAAAGAAGGAAAAGCTGAACAAAAGCTCTTGTTCTGCTCCACTCCCACTCACCTCCGTGTTGGGGATATCCCAGGAAAACAGCACCAGGTCGACTCCGTGCACCGTGCAGTTCACGGACAGAGCTTCTCCCTGCTTCAGGACCGTCTTGGAAGCGTCGATGTAAGGATCGATGGCCTCAGAGACTGGGACGAGGACAGGAGAGAGACGATGGACATGAGATGGGACAAGCCCGTCTGCAACAGAGCTGACCTCAGCAATCATTAATCATTAGCCAGTGCAAAAGTCAACAACATGGGAATCTAATAAGTCAGAGCTGAATTTGACCTTTGACCTTTTTGGTTCACGTCTCCATAAAAAGGATGGATGCTTTTCAATGGTTTTTTTTTCTTTCTTCTTTTTGCATTAACAGTACGGCACTTATCAATCACAAAACAAATTAAAGACCAGCAACCCTTGAAGGAATGCATATCGCCCGCCATCTTTTGTGAGTTTCAAACTAAAATCATCTTACAATGAAATGAGACAGAGTCGCAGCCGATTTGGTCAAACTTTGTAAATGTTTGCTCATGAGATGTGTCAGCGCTTAGAGTAAATGATAAATGGACTGTACTTATACAGCACCTTTCTATCAAGATACTCAAAGTACTTTACACTATAATCTGTGCCCTCATGTACCCATTCATACAGCACTCTACTCTATCTATACAAAGACTAATCAGTGCTTTACCACATCCATACACCGATACATTGGAGGCAATGAGGGGTTCAGTGTCTTGCTCAGGGACACTTGGGCATGTGACTGCTGGTGGAGTCGAATCCCCAACTCTCCCAATGGAGGACCACTGCTCTAACCACTCAGCCACAGCGTATGTGTTGGGGGCGGGGGTGACTCTCATCTACTACCACACTACATTTTAGGTCAATATCTGTAAAAGCAACAGAGTTGTGGCCTTTAGAGCCATGAAAACATTAATGCCTTTCTCCTTTTGTGATGGATGAGGAACAACAAGTAACTCAAGAGAACAATAATGCTTCATCTTCTCACCAGTCTTCACTCCAGTCACTAAATTTAACCAATGAGGTTTGTGAAATCACTAAAAACACAAAATATTTATCAGTAAAAATGCAGGTTTTGTACAAATATTTACTTTTTTCATAGTGCATTGTAAAAAAGGAATAAAATGTTTTTTTTTATAATTTGAATGCTGGCTCTGATTATATGTGCTGCTAATTATCCATGCTGCTGATTATCCATGCTGCTGATCTCATGCTGCTGTGTTCCTTCGTACTCGCCTGCTCACACAGACTCATGTTCGTGCTGCTGTTGTTCATCGTATTGTTTAGTGTATTTCTTAGTTTATATCTAGATCCTTACTTTTACAATTTATATTTTTGCTCTTTTTGGATGTAATGGGACCCTGTGTACACAATTTCATTCCACCTCATGTACCACATGTGGTGAAATGACAATAAAACCTACTTGAACTTGGTTGAATGTAAGAAGGTAAGCTTGTTTGATTCTGTGTGTGTGTTCCTGTCTAAAGTTACTGTAAATACAACTGCAGCACCATGTCTCTTGTGAACTCTATGACCTACCGATAACACTGATGACGTTAAAACCCTGGGAGTCTTTCACCTCCCCGTTCAGCTCTCCGCGGCACACGTACGTCCTGTCCTCCAGCGGTGCCTTGTACCCCTCAGCGGGGGCGTACAGGCCTGTAATGGGCCGGTCGGTGTCCTGCTCATGCAGGGTGACGGTGATGTTGGGGTTGGTGACCACACACGGGATGATGCTTTCTTCACTGGTCTTTGCCACCATGCCATGGGTGCTTTTTACAAACCACACCTCAGGATCTGCAGCGAGACAGGATTCAGCATTCAGAACACTGTCTTCTTGTTTAATCGTTTGATTTTTGCACTCCAACTATGCGTTGTGCTGTTTTGTCTAGTCATATTTCTATACGTCAGTTTATTTAGGAGAAGGGCGCTATGAATTTTGACATTGGTAACTTTTATGTTTGTCAATATTTTGAAATGAATTCACAATTTATTTTTACATTAGAATACATTGCAATTGTGTCAATTAATTCAAAACGTTGTTCTTTTTAAAAATCTGCTTCAGCTTTCTTGCTTTGTTCTTTTTTGCTAGCATTTTGCTACTTTTAGCTCGTCAGTTGCTGCTTTGATCTTTCAGCTAGCTACTTTTAGATTTTAGATCATATTTACTTCCTTTTTTTCTTTTCACTTTTACAGAAGCTAGTGTGTTTTTCTTCTTTTAGCTTTTTGTTGTTGCTAGTGTTCTGCTCCTTTTCATAACTTCATTTCAGCTTCTTCAGCAGATTTCAGCGTTTATACTGCATTTCCACAGAAAATGTCAAATGTTTTTGGAGCCGTCAGGTATTTTAGGATGAAAGCTGAAGGCAAACGAACCGGACCTCACCTGGAACAAACACAGCCACCTCCTTAGTTTCCCCAGAGCTTCGACTGACGCACTGATACACACCAGTATGCTTCCAGTTCACATTCTTTAGCATTAGAACACTGGACACGGCATCTCTTCGCACAATTTGGTATCGTTGATGACCATTTTCATCCTTCTCTTTCAGATACTTGAGCATGTCATCGCTTTTGAATTCCCAGGTGATCTCAGTGAAGTCGGAGCAGGTTAGGTTGAGGGACGAGCCTCGAGTCAGCACGAACTCGTTGCCATCAGGTGTGATCTTCAGGCAGGACACTTCAGCGCACAAACACGCCAGAGCTGCAGTTTGCACGCCACAAAAACAGTCATTAAGGTGGGGGTTAAAAGAGACGGCAGAAAGAGTTCAGAGGTTACATCAACAATGTAAGTCAGATCCTGTTCTGTCTCAAACCGTGAAGGATACGAGTCGTCTGGAGCAGACGAGAAGAGAGGATGAGGGCGGCACGTCAGTGACAGCCGGACTCAAAATTAAAGATGCACATCTGAATGCATCAAAGTATTGTGCAATCTTACAATTCATTCCGTTTATCGTTATAATTAGCACAATATCATTAAATTACACATTGCAGGATACTCACTCCGTACATTTATGCAACTTCTTCCTAACTACGGAGTAAATGTATTAACAAAATTATCTTAGACTTGGCTAAATGAGTATTGTGAAGTAGTTGGTGTAAGCCTGGGATCACACTCTTCTGTACAATAAACCCAAACTCTTTTTGCACATTATCACTTTTTGTTGGTAGCATGATATTTAATCCTCACCTGTAATTGTAAGTGTCAGGTGGCGCACGACTGCTGACACCCTCCACATGGCGGCTGCTTTTTATGACCACGTTTTTCTGCAAACAGAAGGTTCAAACGCAGATAAATCTCATCAGTCAGTGTTGAATATAAATGTCTTAGTCGACAGTAAGACAAATACAGGTAGTTCACACGCAGAAATGTATACTTTTATCAGTCCAAGTGAACAAAACAGCAGGAAGATTGCATTTTGCTTCTTTTTACAACGTAATATCTACCATATTTTTCGGCTTATAAGGCGCATTAAGTGAAAAGAAACAGTCAGATAAGGCAAACTTTATTCAGCTTATTCACAATAACCACATAAAATCAGTTCGAGGTCAGTAAGCACAACCAGAATTAATACATAAAGTGCACCTGATTGTAAGGCTCACTGTTGATTTTTGAGAAAATGTAAGGATATTAACTGTGCCTTATAGTCTGAAATATATGGTCAAGTCGTCAACTTTATTTATAGAGCACATTTAAAACAGAACCTGTTATCAAAGTGCTTAACAACAACAACAACAACAATCAATGAGAGAAAACATAAGAAAGAATATTATAGTGATTTATTGAATAAAAGTAAAGGAGACATCAAGGCAACATGGCGGGTAGTGAATAATGTTTTACAAAAAAATATAAGAAAAACAGGCATTTCACAAAACTTTACAATAGACAACAAGAATGTATGTGATGAAAATGTAATTGCTAATGGATTTAATCAATACTTTGTGAACGTTGGATCCAGCCTTGCTGCAACGATACCTAAAGTGGATAACAATGTGAACTATTTAATTGATGATTATCTTGCAAGTGTGTTCCTGACTGGAACTGACAAATATGAAATAATGACTGTAGTCAATACATTTGTAGGCAAAAGATCAAAGGATTGGATGGATATGGACATGATGTTTGTAAAACACATATTGGGTCATGTAATCGAACAATTTACATATGTATGTAATTTATCTTTTACTAAGGGAGTATTTCCTGATAGAATGAAGGTGGCTAAAGTGGTTCCTCTTTTTAAAGGTGGTGACAAATGTGTGTTTAATAACTATCGACCGATATCGTTGTTGCCACAGTTTTCTAAGATCTTGGAGAAATTATTTAGTAACAGACTAGACCAATTTATTGAAAGGCAAAATATTCTAACTAATAGCCAATATGGTTTTAGAGAAAAAAATTCCACATCCATGGCACTAGTAGACTTTATGGAACAAGTAACAACTGCTGTGGACCGAAAACAGTATTGTGTGAGTGTGTTTGTGGACTTAAAAAAGGCGTTTGATACTGTCGATCATAACATTCTTTTTGAAAAATTATACAAATACGGCATCAGAGGATTGGCACTGCAGTGGGTGTGCAGTTACTTAAAAAACAGGAACCAATTTGTGCAGATAAATGATGTGAGATCGGATTACTGCACCATTACATGTGGAGTTCCTCAAGGATCTGTAATTGGTCCAAAGTTGTTCATCTTGTATGTGAATGATTTGGTTAAGGTGTCCAGCCTCCTTAAATGCGTTCTTTTTGCGGATGACACAACTTTTTTTTGTTCTGGTAAGAATATTGAACAGTTATTGGAATTAATGATGATTGAGTTTTGTAAAATTCAAAGTTGGTTTAGACTAAACAAAGTATCGTTAAATTTGGATAAGACTAACTATATGATATTTAGCAATAAAAATAAAAATATTGATGTTTCATTCAAGATTGAAGATTCTGAAATCTGTAGAGTATATGAGGTGAAGTTTTTGGGTGTCATCATTGATGATAAATTATCATGGAAGCAACATATAAATTCTGTTAAAATGAAAATATTAAAATCTATCGCAATATTTTATAGAGTTAAGTATCTACTGAATGACAAAGCATTGTATTTGATGTACAATACAATTGTTGTGCCACATTTGATTTATTGTGTTAATGTTTGGGGAAAAGCATGTAAATCAATTACAAAGTCTATTTTTATTTTGCAGAAAAGAGTTGTAAGAATTATCAAGGGTAAACATTATTATCATCCATCGAGTATATTATTTTGTCAAATGAAGTTGTTGAAGTTCCCTGATTTGGTGGATTATACCATTTTGTCATTCATGTATAGAGCTCATAATAATACATTGCCTTCTAATATCCAAATGCATTGTGTAAAAAGAGCTAGTAATTATAATCTTAAGGGGAAATATGTTTTTGTTAAACCGCAATTCAGAACCAGTTTGAAGGGAAGATCTACCCTAATTCAGGGTGTTGGACTGTGGAACGACTTGGAGTTAGATGTTAAGGAAGCTAAATCAATCTCGGTATTTAAGAAAATGGTAAAAATTCAATTGCTAAAAAAATATATATGAATGTATTTCATGAAAAATGTTGGATATTTGAAATATTACTTGAGTTATTTACTTGTTTCTGATAATTTTCTGAATATGTTTGTTTGAATGGTTTATTAGATAAATAAGGAGCAGATTCAATAAGATTTTTTCTTCATCTGCTACCTTTCATTTTATATTTATAATTGTTTTCTAATTACATATATGTTAATTGATATGTATTTTATTTTGTTATGAAATGAATAAATAAAAAAAAAAAAAAAATTAAAGAGAAAAAAATACAATACACTAATTATAATAACTGAAGAATTAATAAAAAGCATTTAAAACATAGGGTCATAGATTAAAAAACACTAGATCAATTTACACTGTATGAAATGCCTGCGTGAACAGATGTGTTTTAGCAGGGATTTGAAGTGAGGAAGGGAGGTGGCCTGCCTGATGTTGGGGGGCAGGTTGTTCCACAGTTTGGGGCCCATGACTGAAAAAGCCCGATCTCCTCTGAGCTTCAGTCTTGTTTTTGGAACAGCCAAAAGCAGCTGATCAGATGATCTCAGGGCCCGAGAGGGAACGTAAGGTTCCAGAAGCTCAGAGAGGTAAAGGGGTGCGAGGCCATTTAGGCATTTGAAGGTCAACAGAAGAATTTTAAAAACTATCCTCGTACGAACAGGGAGCCAGTGAAGGGAGGACAGAACTGGTGTAATATGTTCAGACCTACGAGTTCCGGTTAAAAGCCGAGCAGCAGCATTCTGGACGAGCTGAAGACGTGAGTTGGAGGACTGGCTGATCCCAGCATACAGTGCGTTGCAATAGTCCAATCGGGTCGTGACAAAGGCGTGGACTAGTTTCTCAAGGTCGGGTCTGGACAACACTGGCTTGAGCTTAGCTACCTGTCCGAGTTGGAAGAAGCTTTTCTGTAGAACAGAGTTGATTTGTTTGTCAAACTTGAAATCAGAGTCTAAAACCATCCCGAGATTTTTACCAGACTGCTTCAGATATGGCTGAAGAGAGTCCAGGTTGACAGGATCAGTGGCGGCAGTTGAGCTAGGGCTAAAGACAATGACTTCAGTCTTCTCATTGTTAAAACGTAAGAAATTTGAAGCCATCCAGGCCTTAATGTCGTCCAGACATTTTAACAGAGGGTGAATGGAGCAAACACTTGCTGGTTTCACAGGCAGGTAGATCTGGCAGTCATCAGCATAGCAATGGAATGAAAGACCATGTTTCCTCAGGATGGACCCCAGTCGAAGCAAATAAAGTGAGAACAGAAGGGGTCCAAGAATCGAACCCTGTGGGACCCCGCAAGAAAGAGGTAATGAGGCGGATACATTATTATCACCCTTGACACAAAAACCCCTGCCACTCAGGTATGAGGGGAACCATTCTAATGCAGCACCTGTGATCCCAACCCACTGTTCCAGCCGTATGGTATATAAGAGATGTTAATATGATGGCTCGACTCCTGCTTTCATCAGCTCCTGGCAGGTGAAATAAAGTAGAAAATACATTAAATTGTAGATCCAAACATTCTGCTGTGAAATAACTAATTTGTGCTTTGCTTTTGCTTAAAGGACAAATAAAAACAAAAAGGACGTGATTCGTCACAAAGCTGTTTTCTCTCTTGACACAGAGTCTGAGGTGCAGTCGCAGCTCACTCTGGAGGTATTTGATGCCTCGCTGCACCAGGACAGAGCAACAATGTCTGCCTCTTTGTGTTCTCGGTTCACCAGCATTCTGCTCACGAACAAACGGGTCACTGTGTGCAACTTTGGAGCACCCTTACTGGTAACAATGCTGCGTCCAAGCTATCCCAGAGCCACGCTGAGCTATCAGCTGGTTTGGGAGTAAACAAAAGGGAACATGAGGGTCTGAAAGGAAAGGCTGCTGTGGCGTTACAGTGCGTATCATGTTGTTCACTGATGCAGCATCCATGGAGCGATTCAGGAACGTCCACCATCGTCCCATCAATAGCTTGAACAGCTCTAGACTTTAGTATTGGAAGTTCACAGCTGAGGAGGTCAGAGGCAAAGACGGAAGAGGGGAAGGGTGGTTAGTTGTTATGTTTGGGACGGGGAGGTGGCGGTGGTGGTGGTGGTGGTGGTGGTGGGGGGGGGGGGTTAAGGCAGACGTCTGGAAACAGTTAAGGATGGATCACAGGCCTGAACGCAAAGAGGGTGGGAAAGAAAACGAGGGCGGAAGAGCGATTCTTGGGAAGAGCGAGGGTGGAGGAGGAAGAGTGCGAGCCAGAGAAATAAATTGTGAAATCTCTTTAAAAAAATCTTACTCCATTTAACTTCTTTTGATTTTTTTACTCCACTGGACTCGAACTTTACAACTTCTATTTTAAGACAGGACTATTTTAGCTCATTGTGTAATAAACCACATTTGTTGGAATTTATCTCATTACCTGAAATCTAATATTCATTTATCAAAGACCATATTTCTGAAGACCAGCTTAGATTGACCGTCCCAAAATTTTATGTTTTATGTTTGGTTCTCTGGAAAAGGTATAAACAAATAGTATCTCACCTGTTGTAGGTAGCTTTTTGAATGACTTCTGTTCACAGAAATAGCTTAATTTCGACTGGGTTAGCACAATAACAGCCAGTCTGAGCCATGTAACACACACATGTATATATATATA